AGAGGTGCAATACAGCTGGGTGAAGAGAAGTGCTAACTCAATGGCTGATGGGTTAGCTAAGCAAGGGGTGGCTAAGGATTCTTTGTTTTGGGCACATTTTTAGTATTTTGTTGTCATTTTGATGTTGGGGAGTTAAGATACTTTACCTCCCCATTTTCTATAATTAATTTTCACAAGTATTATTCATTAATAAAGATTTCTGTTATCGATCCAAAAAAAAAGCTGACCCAAAACTTAGGATACTTTTGTGCACATGTATGTACAGATTTTTTTGTAATACTTATACTGACTATTACCATTAAAAACACCATTTGAATTATAGGGCTGCAACTTGGGTGGGGCTAACCCTAGTCCTACCTGACCCAATCCAAGTCTTTCCACAGGTTGGACCTGAATTTTTGGGCTTCAGGCTGGGGGCCAGAAAACTCGGGCCTGACCTAAACTCAGGTTGGGCTTGAGTTGAGGCCTCAGGTTGCCCAAGCCCAACCTGAGCCTACCTGAACAAATGCATACATATACATTTGTTAACGAAATTTGTACAATTTTCAATTTCTTCTACTCTTAAATTGGGCTGTAAAGTGTGTACAAAAATGTAATCATGAATACTTTTAAACTTGACCAACCCACCAAGGCCTGACCAAGCCTGGCCCAATCCAGCCCAAGCCCAAGTTGTGTTCGGTTAGGCCTAGGTTGGTAAAACTGGGCTTGACCTTGGGTTGGGCCAGGATCGAGCATGATGTTTGCATCTTAGCCTCTTATGGCTGGGCCTAGGTTGACCCTCAACCTGACCTAACCCTCTCAAGTTGCACCCCTATTGAATTTATTTATTTATTTTCTGATCAGCAACCCCTATTGAATTTATTAATGATTGGGAAGATGCAACCCAAAAAAAAAAGTTGAAGGCCCTACTAGATAAGGAAATGAATAGACCCCAAAATTTGAATTACTAGCCTGATGTAGATGTATATGAGTTTTACATAGCTCTTTGCAGTCCAAACTATGCTTCCATGATTCCATCTGAGTGTGCTTTTTGACCTTGATGCAAAAAAGCCAGATGTCATTCACTCTAGAGTGAACTAGATGTTCATTAAAGCCAAATCTCTTACCTTCTTATTGGAATGTTTCATGTTCATTGTGCCTAACCCTCTTTCTCTTCTCACATTCTCCCCTCTACGTTGTTAGCACACTAACCCTTGTGTTGGGATGCATTCATGAATCATCAATAAGATAGGACCTCCTTCATTCTCTTTCATGTCTTTCTTTTTTTGGTAGAAACCCTACTTTCTTTCTTTTCTCCCATGAAATGCTTTTTGTTGTGCTTCAGTTAGAATTGTTGGGCCATGCCTTGCTGGTGAGTGAACAAAAGGTGGCACTTGTGTTTTCTTGCTTGTAGATCCATTGTATTCTTTGTTGTATTGAGTGGGATCTTTGTTAGTGGGCCTATTTGCCTTATTTATGTTTCATCTCTCTTCATTGTTATGGGCCTTTGGTTATTGGGCCTAAACTGTTTTTATTGTTCAAGTCTCTAGTTGTCCCATCACTAATCAGGGGCATTCTAGTCCATTTTCTGTATTATTCAAATCTTAATATAAATAATCTTCTAGGGCTGGCTAAGAACACTTCTTCCGCCCGTACACTCTTCTCTTCTTTTCTCTTCTCCTCTCTTCTTGTTCTTCTCTAGTAAACCAGTAAACATTCTTCAATTTTAAAGTTTAAACACCACATCTATGTAGATGTTCTAGTTGCTAATTGATGAAGATCAAAAGTGAAATCTCGATCCCTGCTGGAACTAGTGACCTCGAACTCAAGCGCGGGCTCTGGTGGTAAAAGCTGCAAAAGACAACAAGTCCAAGGGCCTGGGTGGATGTCCCGGGCTATGGACTCCAACGATCAAGTCAGTGAATGCCAAGCTGTCTGAGGTGGTAAAAGATGCAAGAGTAGGAATCAAAATGCAATAGATGGTCTCAGATGGTGACAACTTACCTTTATATAGGCCTTGTGGCTCAGCCAAACGTGGCCATGAAGGGCGATGCGTCCGATCTTAGTGGGCATGTCCAGGCGGTTGATGGCAGCACATCCACCATTTTTGGGGTATGTTTGAGCGGCACGTCCGTGATCCACGGGCATCACCCACTTCCATGCAAAGTGGAGAGGTGGAATACCAGCATCTCCAGGTGGCTTTGTGCTTTTATAAGGCACATGTCGGCCCTTCTGTGTTGATGTTAGAGGTAAGAATGAGCTTGTCTCGCAGGTTGGAGACAGACTAAGGTTGGAAGAGTCTCTCTCAGGTTGGAGGTAGCTTGGGTTGAATGGATCAGGTCAGAAGCGAGCTTTGGGCGACTGGGTCGGAAGTATATTTCTGGACCCATAACCCATTCTAGGTCAGAGGTCAACTGTTATCCGGACACCCAAAATTGGGTTGCCACTAGTGGTCCGAACTGCTATTTATGTGCTGTCTTGCGGTCTTGCCACATGTTGTGACGAAGTGCCATAAAGCGTCATTCATGTCGCCACGTGTTAAATGGTTGGAGGGTAGATCTACCCCCATCACTAATGTAGTTATCAGAACATCTTTAACCTAGGAAATTACACATTGGCTAATTAATTATTTACGGTATCCTACTGTATTAGTAGAAGCTCCAAAGAGAGATCTTTTCCTCCATTTACTTGTATATCCTTCATATTAACAAACTGTGAAACAATTAGAAAATGATATTACAGAAGACTTGTTACTTATTGGAGATTAGGGATTTATTTTCACACTACTTTTGCTACATTTTCATGAGACCCTATCCATAACTTGAACATGCCCATTCTTGCAATATTCACAATTTCACATTTGAATTGTGGTTCATGATGTAATCTGTTTATGATAAAATTTATGTACCTTGAATACCATGTCATATTAATTGCCTGTTTGTGCATTATTCTTGCTACTTTTCTTCTAGCTGGATATGTATATATCTAAAAATCTTGCATTGTTTTAATAGGAAGTAAAGAAGTCATTTGATTTCTGGGGTACTCCAGAAGGTGATGCTGTCCATCCTGCTGAGTGCATGCAGCACTTGCTTGAGCAAGTCCGGCATCATAAAGTCAATATTGATGGCAATGTGTGCACTGTGATGGTGACCACTTTAGTTCTTGAGGTGCTTTCCTTTTCTTGGGATTTTGCATTAATAGAGGCACAAGGCACATATGTTCATATCCATGAAATTGAATAAATCAAACTGATAATAAAAATTGTGAGTAAATCAAAACCAAGTCTTGATTAAAAAGAATATGCCAAGACCGAACTTCCCCCATTCTCTTTTTGGCTCTTTACAAATCAATCAGCTCACCTCACCAGAAGGCCAATAACCGATGTCAGCATATATTGATGTTTTCAACCCACAATTGAACTTGTTGGTTAGACTGGTCAACCTGTTACCAAACCAGGTTTCTGCGTCCATTTAGCCCCCAAACTGTTTACTTGGTTAACTCTCTTTTTCTGTTTTTTTATTTGCATTTTTATCCATTAGCATCATCATCATCATCATCTAAACCTTATCCCAACTTATGGTTTTGGCTACATGAATTCTGTTTCTCCATTCCTTTCTGTTCTGTGCTATACCCATTGATAAATTGTGAGCACTTTGCCCTTTCCATCATTAATAACAGTAGCTCTCATTTATCACATTTATTTTTGCTTAATATGATGAATATATAATATTTAAAGATGTCCAATTTTTTCTGCAAAATTTCTGTATTTTATGCAGTTTTATCTTTTTTTTTTATGTTTTTATTATTTCATTTATGACACCGTGAGTTGACCTGTTTGAGATGGACGGTTGAACTGTTGACCTGCCACCTGGAAGGAGAAGCAGTTTCATTTCTGAGTAATTTTTCAAAACATTGGTGTTTATTTGGTTAAATCCAAGTTGAAAGTCCACAAAAGCCTTGTCTTCTGGTCCACGTGTGGGAGAAGCTCAAACAAAGAAGAGTCTGGTCTGGTCTGAATTCAGCCCCGGCCTGCCATCTGCTGCTAGATCTGGGAATGGTGCCCAAGGGTGCCACTATGCCCCACTGCTCTTTGGCAGCCAGCCTCTGGATTATACAAAAGAATTGAGGCTGGGGGTCTTGTCCTTAGTGGTTGGCTGCACGTTTGGTATTGACCGAACGAATAGGCCTTGATCTATGCCCCTTAATGAATTTAATGGTCCTTCAACCTTTGTTTGTTCCAACAGCTGGCATAGATCTCTATATGGAAAAAAGCATGGTCTGATGTATCTTTGAATTGATCCTGTGTTGCCAGCTAGGAATATGTAAAGATCCTAAATCTTCTAATCAACTCTTCAGTGGACCTCCTCTTTGTCTTCAAAATTCTGAGATTTATTTCCTTCCACATGCACCAAGTCACAGCCACTATTATTGTTCTCCATAGTAATCTTCCTCTTTGAGCAAGACCTATCAGTTCTATTTTTATATTTTTCATGGGCATTTTATTTTGTGAAACCATTTCCTTCATATGAAGTCCACAAAAGCCTTTCTATTTTTATGTTTTTGTGGATAGTTTTTATATTTTTTTAAACTATTACTTTCTGCATTTGTTGACATGTCATAAACATTCACTAATTCTAATGGGTATCTGGAAGGTTTTATTTGGGAACACATTCACATGTACTTTCTGGATATTACCCATCCATAATCTACAACCAAATAAGTAATAAAATAAATGACTAGTCAGTAGAAAGAAATCCTATCGATCTGCTTAAGGTGCGATGCTTGTCTGGATTATGCAATAATTGCAGAATCTCTATCAACAGAATACTATATTTTTCATTTTAAAGTATCAAGGAAAAATGTAAAAGAAGTGGCTTCCAATGTATTAAAGTTTGAAGATTATTGTTATCTTTTTGTTGTGTATGTAGGGCTGGCAGAGGAAACTTGATCCAGGATATAATATGATGCAAACATTACAAACATTGCTATTCAAAGCTGACTGGGCAGAATCTCTCGTCTACACAATCGAAGGACTTATGGCCCCATAAAATGGCACGTGTCAGCATTTCTTCTCAAACAATTTTGTCGATGAGTGAAAATAACATAAAAGAGAATATACATACTGTTTACGGAAGTCTCTTTCCCATCTTTCTACACCTTTTTATCTGGTCCATGTTTTCTTTGCACAAATTTTCCAGTAGGCAAACCATGCCTTTCTGTATTATTTTGTTTTCAATTGTCATAGCATCACTATACTTCACCTTATCTCACAAGCATTTACAGTGAATAAGGAGTAACAGAGAGACGAAATAGAGCAGTGCCATTCTTTTCATTTCCAGTTCATACTATCTAGAATTGTCTTTGAGGTGTCAATTTATTTTCTGCGGTTTTTGTTGTGACCCTTTCAGTTCTTATTCCTAAAATAAGATCTTCCATGTGGTACTGGGGTCATCTGAGCTGAACTGAACCTTTACCTAAATCTCAGTATAGTATAGTTGAATTTGCACTAGAAAACTAACTGACACAGGAATTTGTACAGACGCAACTTCAAGTTCTCTATAGTTGGGAGAAGCGCAGGCTTAGTGGAAACTGTTTCCATCACAGATCCTCCACCGGTTCACCCTTCAACCCCCAAAGGAAATAAAGATAAGAAAAAAAGGAGAGGGGGTTGGATTGGTTTGCTAATTGCTACCCAACTAGTCTACTTGCATTGGTTTTGGCTTTGACAGAGTTGTTAAATATCTTTGCTTTGCAACCAATTAGCATACAGGCTGCATTTATTACAACGTAAAATTGATAGAAAAATTTTCAGGCTAAAATAGCTTTACTTTTTCCCCCTTTACAATGTTGACCTTTTTATCTGTCATTTCACAAACAGATACGGTGAAAAGAGGAAAAATATGCAGTGATGCATGTTGGTCATGCTTTAACTTGATAATAGAATGTTGGTGATTTCATTTTGGTTTCTCACCACATTTGAAGGCATAAATTCATCATTTGTGATTAAGGCTCTATTTGTAACAAGGTTCAAACTATTGGTGCACAAAGATTGTTCTAATTGAAACACTTGTTTTCTTGCTTTTTTTTATATGATAACCTGACAAAGGATAGGTCGCATCAACTATTAATGATCAAAACAATTAAAATCGTTTTACTTCACCTATTTAGAGTATTGGTGACCCTGAAAGCCCATGAGTATTGGTTGGTAAGCAGTTAAGCACTGACACATTGTGGTACAATTTAGTTTTCTCTATGTGTTTGATTGTGGTAGTGTGGTTTACTTCTATCTGTCACAAAATTTGCATTAGTTTCATTTGTACTCATTGGCAAGCAAATTTTACGTTTAAAAACTATGCAAAGTTTACACCTTCCTTCTACCCTAATTCTCTATCTGTCTATCATATGAAGTGTGGATCACATCATTTTGTGTTACTCCCAACAGAAAACCTTCCCCTTGCTTATACTTCTCACAGGCATTCAAGACAAAGTCGAATATGAAGCAAAAGTAAACCAATCTTGCACTCAGACCATTTGCACTTACATTTACACTAGTGCAACTGATATTTGCACTGAAAACCATGAGATAAATAGTACTACTGATGATCTTGTGCTTTCAAGTGTTATCAACTACCGTCTGTGGTTTAACCTGGTCAAACAAAACCCATGAAGCAACCGACCCACCCGACTTCCTCTGTATTTGTTTTCTGTTTTTTTTCCCATGCATTATCGCAATAGATTAGATTAGGGCTGAAAGAGATTAGCCGGATCCGCAATTGGGTTGGGCTCCTATTGCTGCCTTGGTTAAAATGATCTAACCACAGCACCTCAGCCCAATTCATCAAGGATTCAATAGTGGTCCATCTGATTCGGGTCAGTAATCGGGCCCATTGAAAATTAATAAATTCCCACTCCAACCCGACCCAAGTTGCACTCCACTTAACCCGAACCCGGGACATGTTCCCATCTTGGTAAGGCTATAGCTCACTGAAGCAATATTTACTTGAGAGATGTCATGTTTCAAAAACGGTAGATCCAAAACAACGGTATTTCAGCTTATATGTTCTATTAACACATGGAATACAAATTTTCTTGAAGATACAGGGCATGTTCTACTAACACATGGGTCAAACACCTTATGGGCCCACATGGCAACTCCATGTCAGCATGATTAGTTAGAAAGTAAAAAATGCTAACCAAAAATGGATTTTTTTCCCCTTTAGAAATATGAACTGCAGATCAGGTTCATACTAGCTCATTCCATTTTATATACACAGATCCAGAACAACTTGTTTCTAATATCTCTCTATCCATGCATCAGATCATAGTCATCAGATTAGAAGATTCTGTAGTTCTTTCACGAGCTATCACAGAAACACACCTGTACAACAATAGACCACCTCCTCTCATCAGAACTAGCAAGCAAAAACGAAATAATATACAAACTTGAAATTAAAAGCATACTTGAAGCAAGCTGTTATATACATGATCATTTTGAAGGATATAGACATATATATTTGGGGTTGAGGAGAGGAAGGCTTAAAGACCAAAATTTATCTTCCAAAAGATCAACGAAAACTAAGGAAATACTGTTATACAGTAGAAGCTTCATATTCACATCATGACGCTCCTCACAATCTACAGGGTCAATCATCAAGCCTTACCCAGATTGTGGTTGATGTTTTACAAAATTTGATTTTGAAAAATGAAGATTATGACCTTTACTAATGATCAGGTGAGAACTGATGTACAGCCAAATAACTCCTTATCCTTTTTCATTTTCTAATTGAAAAGACACTCAACAAAGATCCAGCTGACTAAGCTAGAAAATAAAAAAGAAATGTGCTCCACTTGTAATATCTAAAGATGTTGGCTGGATGAGCTGTTGGACAACCAAATATTTAAATATTTAGCATCTTTCTGAGACGAACTTGATATTAAAGATAACAGTAGTACAAATAGAATATATATAGCAGAACAGTTTCTTTTCTGCTGCATTAGTTGCCCCTTCATTTGAACTGTTTTTGTTGTTTTCTTGTTTGCATTGAGTTGGGAAAAAGAAAATAGGAGTCGCCCGATCTTTTTTGGAGAAAAGCTGCAATAAGAAAAGGAGGAAAAACAGTAAGAGAAGCAGAATGAGTTGGATTTTGATCCATTCAAAGACAGTTGCAACTTTGAAGAGATTCTACATTTGTCGCCTTAATTGGATAGAAATGATGCTTAAACACATACCCGTGGTTTACAGTCTGCCTAAAGGGTGTGGGAGCCCCAGGAGTGATCTTCATCCATCTTCTATAACGTGAAATGTGGTGACAAAATTCAAAAAAAAAAAAAAAAGAGATTAGGAAGAATCAAAGTAATAACAAGAATGGGGAATAGAAGCTCCATGAGCATTCATCATCTATCATTCTAACGCAAATAAAATCAGTTACTACCTAAGTCAAAGAACATGTTTTGCCTTCCCATCAAGTTGAAGTTTTTAAACAATATCAGTTCCTTGTTCCTGCAAGCTGCAACCAGGGCATTGACCAAACTTAAAGATTAAAAAACTGCAACCAGAAATTATGAGCATTAATGAAATTGGCGGCAAAGCCTAAATAATAATTGAGAGTTTCATTACCTGGCTAGTCAAAGAGCTGATGGGAATACAAGTAATTTTTCCCAAGGTTCAAAGTATATACACCCCAATATGGTGCAAGGGGTGTATCAGTACTTTGAACCTTGCGCCAATCCTTTTTTTAGTTTTTTAATAGACCAGGGGTAGGTCTTAGGCCTGTCTACCCCCTGAAATAGGCCAAACCCCCAAAGCTTTATTGTGTCTGTGACCACATACAGGCCAATACATGTTGAAATTTTGAACCTTTATTTTTCCAATATAGGAAACACGTACATATCTAAGTTCTTTTATAGTAAAATAAAATTATTAATAGAAAAAAGGAAAATACAAGAAAGTTGACCAGAAGTCACCTAAGAGAAGGAAGAAAAAAAACTTCCACCCACCAAAAATCACAGCTCCAATCTCAACAACACAAACAAAACTGCTGATCAAAAAAAGAAACAAAAACAACACAAACAAAACTGCAGACAACCATCCAATGCCAAACAAGAGAACAAACAGACCAAACAAAAATAAGAACTCTGCCCACCCATTATGAACCAGACTCCACACCCCCAACAAACAACAAAAACACATACATATCTAAGTTAACTTTATATATTTAATACCCCTTCTAAGTTATGATTACCTGTATCAATTGAGATGTACCAAAATTGGGAAGGTTACTTTGAGATGTAGGTTGTCCAAACATTGAAACATCTGATGGCTGAAACAACAGAGCATAAATAAATATAATAACTAGTATACCTTAAAAGGCCAAAATGCATATCATATGAAATTTATATGTGCATTACTACCTGAATTAACAAAGGTCTAGTATGAATAGCAGGTTGAACACTAATATGTGTAGGTTGCTGATACATGGATTCTACATCATATGAACACGTGACTTGCGAGGGCCGAGCAAAAGATATGGATGTTGAACATAAATATGTTCAATGGAAATACTACTTCAAATGAGTTATCAAAACCAATGTTTTACAAGTATCATTGAGTTATTTAAAAATACAGAAACAAAACTAAACCATTCAAAATTAATACCTGTGAAGATTGGCCATAAGAGACAAATGGAGAACATGGTCTTTGAGTTTCAAGATGTTCACTCAAATTACCCATAACTTCATATTCTTATGGTTGCATGATTTCATTATGAGGAGCACCAAGTTATCCAAATTAAAATAGATATGTTAGACTAGCATATAAATTCGAGTTATAAAAATACCTGAGGAGATTGGTTATGACAACTAACTGGTGGATGCACTTCCGGGTGGGTGACTTGGTAAAGGCATTTCACTAGAACAGCTGTTTTCATTCTGTACCTTTGATATCTGCAACAACTGCAGATTCCTAAGTTTTAAAATGTTATTTAATAAAATCATTATGGATATGTGGACATTTTATGTAAAAAAAAAAACAAAGGAAATATCTGCATTGGAACAAAATCCCCTTCTGGATATTGTTTATTCTTACACCTTTTTTGACAATTTTGAATGGTTTTCTCAATGGCCTTAATCTTTGACTTCTTGGAAGTGCATACAATGCTTTCCTTTCTTTTATCTCCTTTAGATATTACCTTCTCCTGCTCACCCTCCATTGCTTCTGTTTCCTCATCTATTTCTCCACTAACAAGACTTTCACTTATGCTACCAACTTCATTGTATGAGTCGTCAATGCATATGGATTCATTTCCTTGTGATGCAACAGATGAACGCTCATCCAATGTTCTACTATTCTTTAGAATTGTTCTGACATGTTTCATTATCTTCTCCATGGAGCTTGCAACAAATTGATAAGCTGCCTCAGTTTCTGCAGCCCTTACTGATACTAACTTCATCACATGGCACAGTCCCTTGTAGTGTCTTCCTATTTCTTCTTTTGGATCAAATAGTCTTGTGAAAGATTCATGAAAATGCTCCATTGTACTTTTTGCCTCAAGAGTCCACCTTTTCAAGATGTATTTTGGAGGAATAGTCACCACATTTTTAAACTTGAGTATTGTTAATGCATGACAACATAAAAATGCCCATAAATTCAAACTTCTTACAACTACAATGGACTGAACCATCTGTTGAGTCATATGTAACCACATGTTCACAGATTCTCGATGTACGGATTTTATAATCAACCTTTGTTCCAGGGTCAACAGGATTTAGAATGTAACAACTCAAAGTTTCTAGTACTTCTTGAAACATGTTAAAGATAGTTGGAGTATATATATGAACAGCATGCCATAGTATATCTGCTTCCCTTGTTAACATTGGGGTGGAATGAGTAGCTTTGTATTCTGTCTTTAGCTCTTCATTACACTTATGATCAACCATCCAACCAAAGTAGGTAAAGAAACGTGACAAATCATGCTTTAAATTGAGGCAATTCTTCAGAGAACTTTTGATGTTCTCATTACGCATTGTAGTGATTATATTGGGACAAAAAGTACCATGCCATACACTAATGCCCATTTCTCTTTTTTGCTAAACAATTTCTGCAACCATGCATTTTCTTGGAGATTGTACTTATTGACCATACTATCCCATGCCTCCAAGAATTCTTCCTTCTCTTCATATTCATATATGCACTTGCTAAAATCTTTAGCAAAAGTTTTCAGATGTTAAAAATCATTACCAAGGTGTTTCACAGCACTCAAAAAAAGGAGGGGTCTTTTACTTGCATATCTTCGAAAGAATGTAATAAACAACCTGCATCTCCCCGGGTCATTTTTCCAGTCCGATAAGAACGCAAATAATTTTTTAAATCCACATCAATAACCCCACCATTCTCACGTCCGCTATACATTTTCCTCTGTGATCTTAACATGACTGCTTCCTTAGGAGTAACAACAAAATGATTATGATCTGGGTTGAACAATACAATACAAAATTTATTACTTGTCTCTTGAAAAGATATCTTCATTAATGCCCCACAATTGCACCTTGTCTCCGGATGATGCAGCTTTACATTAACATCACGCTTGTCTGCATGACGTCTACCCTCTCTACAACAAACAAATGTTCTATGCTGCAATTGACCTGTAACTTTGGAACATACAAAACTACTCTTTCAGATACTGAATCCATACCTTCCAGCATATCTGTTGTAAAAGTTATATGCATCATCTTCTGTTTCAAATTCCATTCCAACTTTTGAGATCCATTCCTCAGGCATTTGAGAATGCTTGTACTGAGTGCACCTATTTACTGAAGCATTAGATTTGGTATTAGCTGGACCACTTGGTTGGGTATCAGTTGGACCATCAAGCTGGATATCAATTGGATTGTCAAGCTTAGATAAGTTATCACCAATTTATGCATCTTCATCCTCAAATATACCATCAGATTTATGCATTTTATCAGTTTTAGGCAAGCCAGCACTGGCAATATTAGTTTGAGTTTGAGATCTGTAATCTTCCAGCTCAAGCACCCATGTACGGAAAGATGAATGCCCAGCTAGACCATCACTAAACTGAACTTTGATGGCAGCAGCATAAGGAACCCAGGGCCTTCCGGAATTGGGGGTGTGATAAGGGATGAAACAGGGAACTTATTAGCCATGTACTCTAGGCTGATTGGGGTGGGTGACTCTTTAAGGGCTGAGATTTTAGCAGCTATTGAAGGGATTCAAAGGGTCAAGGAAATGAATATAAGAAAGGTGGTTATAGAAGGTGATTCTGAAATGGTGGTGAAATGGCCAAAAGAGGACAGTGCTATGATGTGGAAATACAGCAATGAAAAGATGAAGTATAGGTGGTTAACCAAGGACATGGAAATTCAATGTACATGGATAAAGAGAAGCGCAAATGCACTGGCCAATGGTCTAGCTAGGCAAGGAGTAAATATAGATACATTATTCTGGGCTGTTTTGTAATCACTGCATGGTCAAAAAGTCACTTGGGTAGCTGGAGTAAAGATGAATGCCCAGCCTCCATGTGTTCCTTAATTATGCTGTTGAAGATAACATAAACCAAATATTACTTTTAGATAATAAAAATAAAAACAAATAATAGACACAATTATAAAGAAAAGAAATAGGAAAAATGATAAAAATAGCAACTTTTCATTTCTCATGATTCAACTGAACCCAAGCCATAGATAACAAAGAAGTTGGCTCTTTACGGTACATAGAAGCTGCGAAATTCAACTGAATTCAAGGGTTCTTTTGATTTTATGGATGTGTATGACTCTTTTACTATGTTTTGCTAAAGAGTTTCTTTTTTGGTCATGGTAATCATGGATAAGAAATCAAAAGAACGGCAAGGTCACTGCATTCCATTATGGTGCCAAAGGTGGAGTTTTGGACTCTGTTAAAGGTTTTACATTTAAGAGTTTCCACATTTCATTCCAATCATGAGTAATTTTGAAATTTTTTTCATGTCAAAATTTTCAGTATTATATCAGTATTTGGATTTCAACTTGCTCTATTTTAAAATTTTTAGTATCTTAGCAAAACTTCAAGGAATTTTTTAAATATTTATTATGTTTCCATTTTTGCTGATACAAAAAATATATTATGATTCCATTTTGGTTAAAATCCAGATTCTTATGCCAAGCTACAAGTAAGCTGAAATACAATTCACATTTTTACCTTCCCAAGCAGGTAGTTAGTTGGAAACAATTAACAAATGAACAGGGAATCCAGAATTCCAGATATGCAATTCTAATTGTTTGCACTGTCTTCACAAGTAAACTGGTCCTATATGTTATAAGATTCTAGGAATCGGTTAGACCTTTGGTTTTCAAAAGAAATTGGCCACAGCAGTTTAGGGCACTTAAGCCAACTCAATGAAGCTCAATTGTTTCAACAACGAAACTCCACTTACTCTCAGTCAAAAATCAACAAAAGTTACATCATACATTATCCAATCCCTTACCTAATTAAAACTCTTATGTAATACTACTACTTTCAATTGCAATTCAGAACTATGGAAGTTATTTTGCTGAGTTGGTCTCTGGAATGCACCAAACTTAAGATTAAGATTGAGATTTTGCAATGAAACCAAAGGTACAACCTGAATACATGTCAAATTGTCAATATATAAAAAGATAGAGCTGAACAGAGAATAATGCTGATTTTATCTTTATTACCAAATTACTAATTGTCACAAGCAAAAAAAAACCATACTTGATGTCTTTACTCCAATCAAGTATTTCAGACGCCTTGATTTCTTCAATGCGTGGTCCCTATTTTCCAAAAAAAAAAATCATGACTCTAGGAGCAGCAAAGAAGAAATTCTTATGATACCTGGAACGATCCAAGCTCGAAATAAGGAACGAAGAATCCGTCGATGGAGCCCTAGCAGGCAATCGGCGTAAACAGAGCAGGTTTCAAGGAAAGAGAGAGGGGTATAAAAGCGTCATCTACTCTTTCTGGGAAGGAGGGAAGGAGGAGGAGAGATAACGCCGGCGTCGATATGGATTTCGGGGAAAAGGGGGTTTCGGCGGGAGAGAGTGGGAGAGAAGGAAACCGCCTTCCCTACACAAAAACTAAACCATTTTTTTTTCTCGAACAACAGATCGGAGTCTCAGTCTCAGTCCGTCTTGTCTGCACGTAGGAAAGGACGCACGTGTTAGAGGACAGGTGTCCCTCCTTCATTGAACGTTGGAGTTTCATGTACTTCTTTCTGAACAGTTCTTAATCGTTTCAGCGGACTCTGGTCTCCGTGTCGTTGGCCGGCGATTGTTGAATCGGAGTATTCCGTTCTCTTCCGAGTCTAATTGAACCCATTCTTCAGTTCGTGTTCGTGAGTTCCAATCTCGGTTCAAGCTAACGACCCGTAAAAGCCTCACCTTTTCCTCGAGTGGGTGCTGGAGTCATGAATCGCTTCTCATCTACTTCAGTTTAACGTTTTCTGCTGCTGCCTTTCTCACTGGTCCTCTGTACATCTACTAGGAGTTCATGTTCAAATCTTAAATCTTATTTCGTGGATAAAGTTTCAATTGTAAGAGTTGCAGAAACTTCTTCTAATATAGCTCAATCTACTCTAAGTGCTCTGTTGGTCCTTTACGAGACAAGGAGAGCCGATAATGCAGGAAGGTTCTTTGTTAAAAGGTCGGTAAGAGAGCAACGGTTGAATGATTCATTGATGCCCAGAAGATTAATAACATCCCCAACAGGCGTTCCTGGAAAGGAAGGTTCTCCAATAGGTTGCATATTAGAGAATGTTCCAAAGACATTTGATTCTTGATGTGGAAACTTCAAGATTTCCAGAATTTAGATAGGCCTCCTTTATGGGAGTTCTAACGAATTGGTGCTTTAGTTATAGTGTTGGTTTCGGCAAATTTGTCACTCCCTGCTTCTATGCTTCACCATTATTCTTTCCTTCTCTTGGTACAAATTCTCAAATCCAACAAGTAATCTCTTTTTCTCTCAGGAGAAGCATTTTTTATGCACTTCTTCACTACACCCATTTTGACCAGATTCGTCCAGTGTACTCTACTTTACAGAGAGACCATCCCATACAGAGTCCAAAGTCCATTAAGTTTTACCTTTCAAAAGAAGTTTGCTCATGGGTTCTTTCTTTCTCCAACTCAAGGTCTTTGAAAGAGGGTATGTGCGTCCACAGCCCCATAATCAAGTTGGGTCTTCAGGATGACTTGCTCCTGAACAACAATCTGTTGTCGCTCTATGGGAAATGTTTTGGAGTGGAACAAGCATGGAAGATGTTCGATGGGATGTCTGACAAGGATGTTGTTTCCTGGACTGGGATGATATCTGCTTATGTCAGGAGCGGAAAGCATGAAGAGGCACTTGAATTATTTAATTGGATGATAGTTTCTGGTTTGGTCCCTAATGAGTTTACATTCTCAAGTGTCTTAAGGTCATGTTCCTCTTTGGGGGAATTTGAGTTGGGAACTTGCATACAAGCACGGATAATAAAGCATGGATTTGAGTCAAATCCAGTTTTGGGAAGTACTCTGATAAATCTCTACTCTAAATGCAACAAGTTTTTGGAAGTTTCTGACATATTTGCATCTATGGAAAATGGTGACACGGTTTCTTGGACTGCAACGATCTCTTCTTTTGTCCGAGCTCGGGATTGGACTCAGTCTCTAAGATTGTATTCACGCATGATTAGGATGGGAGTTCCTCCAAATGAATTTACCTTTGTGGAACTTTTAGCCGCATCTGTTTTTCTTGGTTTGGACCATGGGAAATTAGTTCATGCCCACGTGATACTGTGGGGAATCAAGCTGAATAAGATTTTAAAGACAGCCCTTGTAGATATGTATTCAAAATGCCAAAGGATGGGAGATGCTGAGAAGGTTTCAGTCCAAACGCCTGAAGCTGATGTTTTACTATGGACAGCCCTGATTTCTGGTTATACTAGAGTTCTGGATGTTGCTGGGGCAATTGCAATATTCCGCAAGATGATTACTCGTGGATTCATGCCAAATAATTTCACTTATGCTGGAGTTTTGAATGCTTGCTCCTCTATCCTTGACCTGAGGCTGGGGCAACAGATCCATCTAAAAGTAATTCAGGCTGGATTGGAGCATGATGTCTCGGTAGGAAATGCCCTTGTGGATATGTACATGAAATGCTCCTCATTGATGGGTTTTGCCTTGAAAGCGTTTGAAGAGATACTGTCACCTAATATTATCTCTTGGACATCTCTAATTGCTGGCTTCACTCAACATGGGTTTGAAGGTCAGGCATTTCAGGCATTTTTTGAGATGCGAATTGTTGGGGAGGAACCCAATTCCTTCACCCTCTCAAGCATCCTTAAGGCTTGTCATAAAGTTGGATCTCTAAATCAAGTGCAGAGCCTTCATGCTTATATACTTAAAACTAAATTGGATACTGATACAACTGTTGCAAATGCTCTGATTGATGTCTATGCTAGACTGCAGGTGTTGGATTATGCATGGCGTGTCTTCAACATGATGAACCACAGAGATGCCATAACATATACTAGCTTGGCCACAATGATAAATCACATGGGTAATCATGAAATGACAGTAAATATCCTTACAAACATGCATAACAATGGTGTTAAAATGGATGACTTTAGCTTAGCCAGCTTCTTATGTGCTTATGCAAGCTTAGCTGCAATAGAGCCTGGGAAGCAGCTTCACTGTTATGCAGTGAAATCAAGCTTATGCAGATGGATTTCAGTTTCAAATGGTCTGGTTGATTTTTATGGAAAATGTGGTAGCATGCATGATGCTTGCAGAATTTTTATGGAAATCACTGAGCCAAATATTGTGTCATGGAATGGCCTGATATCTGGGTTGGCATTGAATGGGCATTTCTTTTCTGCTCTCTCAAGATTTGAAGATATGAAATTGGCAGGGATAGAACCCGATAATATTACATTCTTATTAGTGCTTTATGCTTGTAGCCATGGTGGTTTAGTTGATCAGGGCCTTGAGTATTTTCACTCTATGAGCAAAAGTTATAACATGATTCCTCAGCTTGATCATTATGTTTGCCTAGTTGATCTCCTTGGCCGAGCTGGTAGGCTAGAGGAAGCTGTAAATGTGATAGAAACCATGCCTTTTACAGCAGATGCTTTGATCTACAAGACCATGCTGGCTTCTTGTAGATTACATGGTAATATAGCTCTGGGCGAAGATATGGCAAGGCGAGTTCTTGAGCTTGACCAATCAGATCCAGCAATTTATGTGCTGCTTGCAAACATGTATGACGATGCTGGCAGGTCAGATTTAGGCAATCAAACACGCCAGTTAATGAGGCAGAGGGGTTTGAGGAAGAATCCAGGCCAGAGTTGGATAGAGATAAGGAACAAGGTCCATGTCTTCAAAGCAGGAGATAGATCACATCCACAGATAAATGAGATTCATGAAAAGTTAGAATCATTGGGTGCAAGACTAGATAGTTTAGGGTATTCATATGAGGACAATGCCAGTTCTTCTTATCATAGTGAGAAGCTGGCAGTTGGTTTTGGCCTTCTTGGTACAACATCAAGGGCCCCGATACGCATAATTAAGAATTTACGCATTTGCAAAGATTGTCATACCTTTATAAGGCTTGTGACCGAGGTGGTTGACAGGGAAATTATTATGAGGGATGGAAACCGCTACCATATGTTCAAGAAAGGTGATTGTTCATGCAGAGGCTATTGGTAAATGTAAATGGTTAGGAAAAAGATTCCCCTCCCCCCCACCTTTTGTTTGTTTTTTTCCCTTCTTTCTCACTGTGGAAGAATGATCATTAAATCACCAGTTTGGACTTCTAGTTCTATTAAAATATGTTTACTATTTATTTATAAACCAGCCCAACTTATTAGTTCTTAAATTTGTTCTGAGGTCAGTTAGTGCCTTGTCATCTATACTTTCAGATTATACCAGCTCCTTATATTATTTTCTAATGGCATAGGAGAACATCCTTATTTTGCACTTCAAATAAAATATTTTTGTGGGTTAAAGATAGGCTAGAAATTTCTCCTTTTTTCTTATTAAACAGAAATTAAACAAGAAAGGTAAGAATAGTACTTTGTCATCAAGAATGTTAACTCTTTGTGTTTTTTGTTTTTTTTTTTTGTCCTTTTTTCTGTTGTTTTAGCATTCAAGTGACAAAAGTTTACTTCATCACTTATTTCTAGTTGGTATAAGAGAATTTAAGGTCTATTCAAACACTAAGTTCATGCCGAGGAATCCCTTGGTGATGATGCTGCATATGTTTGCTCCAATTAGTCTCTTCCCCCAGAAATATTGGAAGAAAACCAGCAATGCTAACAAGGTTTATGTGGTTTGTAGAATTTAAACCGAAAATTGATATTTCATCCCGGAGAAATCATGTTATTTGAACCTTTTGTGCCTTAGACATAAAATTGTTTTGCTTTGTGTTTAATATTTTGCCTCTGGTGTGGTCAAAAAGTGAGATCAAGGATTTATTGGATCAGTTATTGAAATGACCTGAATGGCTTCAGTTTGGTGCTTAAGCATGGAAACTGATGTCATGATGTTTAAACAATTTTTTATTGTTTCATCAGTTTAATATGTATTGTGGTACTAGGTTTTCAAATATATGTTTGAGGATTTATAAAGCAGTAGAAGTTACTAACTTGATGCTCAAAGTTAGCTCAAACATTCATGTTGTTTGGATCTACAAAATTTTGTTGCATTAGGTTCTATTGAAAATTGTTTTGGAGCATTGATCAAAAAAGGAAAAGTGTTGTTTGGAGCTATAAATATTCACATTTTATGTTCTAATCGACTTTTCAATTGTTATGTCTTCATTACTATGAATAAACCCTAGTTGTTTCTAGGTCAAAGTAGAGAAGAAGAAAGAAGAAAGAAAAGAGAAAGAAGAAGAAGGAGAGGAGAAGAGTGTTCGGCCAGACTAGAAGAGAGGATGTACAAAAAGTACCTCTCCTAGCCGACCCACTTGACTTTTATTCATGAAAAACTTGAGTTACAAGAAAGACAATTTTGTCCCTCATAGAAGATGGGACACATAACTTAAACTCA